GTCTTCAGTCCTAAAATCTTAGGTCACTTTATGAAAGCAAGCCCCCCCTTCACCCCCCTCTGCCATGATTTCCATGTGCGTCATGAGCCACAAAGGGATCTAACTCCTAATCTGTCTTGCAAGACTGTGGCAAGCCTGCCCTGGTAGAATATGGATAGGAAACGGTTTAAGCATTAAAGGAAGCTGCCTATTGACAGGTTCAATTGAGCATCAGCTTTTAATCAGTAGGCTTGGTTGCAGAAAGTTGAGCTGATTAATCTGCCGTGTACAACAGAGAGGGCAATGCGCTTTGCACTTTTAACTTGGGGAAGGAGGTGGGGGGAGAGGGAATATTTTTATCCTCTCCTTCCACCCCAAAATTGCAACAGGGGATCTTTGAAGGCTGAGCCCTCTTCCAAACAATTAGCAGTCGGCTTTGTTTTAATTGACATTGTTTTTTTGAATCAAGACTTCCTTACTGAGCTTTTGTCATGCGCCGGAGGATGAAAGATTTGGTGTTATGGTGAAATGGTTTTATCGGTTGACAGCCTTATATCAGGGTGGTTTTATGGGGACCAGGGCCCTGCCTACCTGTTGCTCAAAGAGGTTTGGGGGCAGAAATTAAGCCCCAACTGAAGTTAATCCCAGATGTTGTCTCATGGGGTGGTGGCAGCAGGGAAGGATCAGAATCCTGATGGCAGCTCTGTAGGGGGGGGTCCCCTCCAGGGTCTGGCACTTTCCTGAACTTGGGGTGGTGCCCCCACCATTTCAGCTCTCTTCCTCCAACATCTCCCCTCAGACTGCAGGGATGCTGAGGCCTGCTCAAGGGGCTGGTCTGCTGTGTGTGGGGGGGATGCATTCCTGCCTCCCCACCCCAGAACTCAAGAGAGTCGCTCACATCTGCTGGGCACAAGTGATGGGCACCTCCCTCTCAGAGCCATAGGTGTGCCTTCGGAGATTGATTAGTGCATTGCTCTCTGTGCATGCTCAGAGGCGCTGGCTGCAAAGTTCTAAATGGCTGCAATACAAACTCACTCTTTGCATTAAATAGAAATGCTGAGCTTCTCAGAACCTTAACAGCTTCCCTCTCCTCTCCTCTTCCTCCTCTTCTTAAATTATGCTTCTATTTACAAGTTTAAACAGCAGAGAGTCTTGTGGCACTTTCAAGAATAATGGCTTTATTGGGACATAAACCTTTTGGGTGATAGCCCCCTTCACAGTCTAAGAAAAACTGCGTCAAATAAAGCATCTCACTCTGTAGGTGATACTAGACTGGGTTGCTTTAGTTGAAACAGACGTAACGTGGCTGCTATCGCCCAAGGAGATTCCAGCACGTTGAGGGTTTAAATGGGGGGGGGGGAGAGAGAGGCTGACAGGATTTCCACTCACCCAGCATGCACCCTCTTTGAAATTAAGGCAAGAAGAGTAAATTAGGTGGCCGCTGACACCAGGGTACAGTCCTCTCAATGTGCATAGTTTGGAGCAGACACCCAGCGTTTGCTTTCTGAGGAAAAGAGGCAGGTTCTGTTACTGTGTGTGCGCATGAATATGGACGAAGGCATTCCCACCACAGCGCTGTAACGGCCACCACCTGCTCTCTCCTCCTCAGTCACAGACTGCGCTCTGTTGCTCAACAAGGCCTTTGCTCCTGCGGTGTTTGCCTTGGCTTGTTTGGAAAGCCCCTTGTCCTTGGTCCCCCCCAGGAGTTGTGTTTGTCCTGGGGCCTCATCCGTTCCTCTCCTCGTGCCCTCCTTTCTTCTTGGTGGTTCTCCATCATCAGTAGTGGCGGAGGTGGGAGAGGAGGCTGACAGCCACGGAGGAAGCAGCCATGCTGTGATGGCCGTCAGGAGGAGCAGGTGACTCAGCCACGCTCTGGTGGAAGGAGCAGGAGAGGGAGGGGGCGGGGAAGGGGAGTGTGTCAGCCACAGTGGAGCATTGTGTGCCTCCATGTGCGTGTGTGTGTGTGTGTGTGTGAGTGTGTGTGTGTGAGTGCGGGGGGGGGAGGAATGGTTGGTTGAATCCCTCAACAAATCCTTCTCTTCTGAAATCTTTGGTCTCCAGTCCTCATTTCCAGCTGAATTGAAAACTAAGGTACATCTCTGTTTGCTCACATGGACGCCTTCCTTATTTATGTTCCTCTGTTCTAGTTCCACTGCCTTGAATTGTGAATTACGCTGGGGAAGGGGGTGGTACTTACGTCCTCTGATAGTAATGATGGGCCATCAAGGCAATTCGGACTCCTGGGGACCCTTTGCAGGGTTTTCTAGGTATGAGAGTATTCAGAAGTGGTTTCCCGTTCTCTTTCTTCTAGGGGGTGCCCTGGGGGATGACCGTGCAGCTGGCCCAAGGCCACCCAGGCTGGCTTTCCTCCCTAGAGATGCAGCAGTGGGGAATCGAACTCACCACTTCTAGATCCACAGTCAGAAACCTAAACCACTGAGCTACCCATATGTTGCTAGAGAACAAGCATAGCCCACTTCAGTTATATGGAAAAGTCCCAGGAAGTGACCCTCAAACCCCCATTCGCCCCCCCTCCAAGGAATGACTGGTGAGGGGTGGCAGCCAAAGGGGAAGGGGGCACACAAAACAATTGGGCCTGAAGTTCTGCCTGTCAGGAAAGAAGCCTTATGAGAACTCATTTCAGCGTTTCAGGATGAGGTTAAAATCGGTGTAAGTCAACTCACGGGTCCAAACTGTCGTGGGAAAGGTTGCTCTGCCTTCTGTGGAGTCCTGGAGGCCCACCATCTCCTGCCTTTCCCTCCATGGCTACTTCAAGAGGAGAAATGACAAGAGATTTAGTTCTTAACTATTCTGTGAAATGTGTTTGTGTGTGTGTGTGTAACTATATATATTTGCAGCCGACCTGCCCTGTCCTTCCATCTCATGCCCATGAGAGGCAGTTTTGATCATTTGAGGAGGTGCTGATGGTCCACCCCAACCACGGTGAGCTTCATGACCGAGCCAGGACTCGGCTGAAGCCCCCGTGGCCTTTCTGAGGTGGGGCCTTTCGTAACCCCACAAGAGGTCCCCATTTTAAGGGTTGGCTGTGGAGCCTGAATGGAGAGGAAGGAAGGAAGAACGGAGCAGGAGCCTGTGGGCCAAGAAAAGGAGCCCAGACATGGCAGTGGCAGGTGAGGGGAAAGGGGAGGGTCTGACTTGCTTTGGAGAACTGAAGGCCAACATTTGATCTTTGGTGATCTGAGCTTAATTTAGTGGCTGCAAGGTATTTACTGAATTCCGCCCCCATGTGTTTGTTCGCTCAGGATTCGGTCATGAAAAATTCATCTTGCTTGATGTGTGTTGGTGTGCTGCTTGTTATTCCGGGCCCCTGTGGTCTTTGTTGTCATCGTTGACGCTCGCGGTTGCTGGGGGGGGGGACGACTGTTCTCGCGCCAACTCAGGGCCTGGGGTGCGTGGCCTCTGGGGCCTGCCGACAACCCACAGCTCTGGTGTGAGCAGAAGGGTGCTGGCGGCAAAGGGGGCAGAACTTTGGAAGCCTTACGATCCTGGACTCCCACCCCCCAAAACCCCCCTGCCAGCTGGGCTTCCATGCTCTGGGACACATGGCGGTAAGGGAACGGGAAATCTTTGTGGAGAGAGTGAGGGGAATCTGGCCACCTTTTGCAGAATCCAGGGACGTCCTCTGGTGGCATCTCTCTGCTGTGCCACCTGAGCTGCCTCCCCCCCCCCCCCCCCCTTGCGNAGCCTGGAAGGGCATGGTGTCCCTTCAACCCTTGGATGGGATGTGCAACTGCTCACCCAGCAAGGATGAAGCCCTGCTGGGCTTGGGCACGCTCTGATTTCCATTGGGGTTATTTATATTCCTGTTTGTGAAGTCAGAGCCAGTTTGAGATAATCTGTATTTGTTATTGAAGAGAATGTGAGAGAGAGAAGGAGAGGGAAAGAGACAAATGAAGTAGGCAATTAAAGCACAGAACACGTATATTTGCAGGGAAAATACTGGGTTTTGCCAATTTGCTTCCTCCCTCGGATCAGCTCCAGAAAATAAGGAATGAAATTGAAATCAATGAAGGCTGCAGCCCGAGAAACGTCTGGAGCCAGGATCCACGAGGAATTGTGACGTCAGTGTTAGGGGCCTTGCTGGTGCCTCTGTGGGCGACGAGCTAGAGCCGTCCTCGGGGGTGTTCCTCTGTTGCATGGCCACTACTCGGCCACTCTCACCCCTGGCCTGAAGTGGCCAGGGGAGGGCAGCCCTGGCTCCAGGAGGGGCGGTCAAGGAAGGTCCTTTGCCAGGGTTTTTGGCTAAAAACTCAAGGTGCTGAAGCAGCAGGAAGGTGCAGGGGAACTTCTGTGCTGCCAAGGTCCAACTGCTATCCTCCAGCTCAGGAGATCTGGGTTCAAATCCACATGTGGCCACGAAATGCCATGGGCCACTTCAACCTCCTCCTGTAGTCCTCTCTGAAGCTCACCTACTCTGCAGGGCTGTTGTGATGATGGCAAAGGGGGAAGGAAGAGAGCCAGATGCAGCCCCTGGCCCTCCTTGGAGGAAAGGCAGGGTTCGGGTTGCCATGAGGGCTGAGGACGGTACCTGAAGCCTCAGGAAATGCCTGTTTCCCCAGGGACGAGGCAGAGGTCAGGGTGAGCAGCGCTCAAGGAGAAGAAGTTGGGTTTTCTCGGTTTGGGTGCCCATTTCCTCCTTGCTCCCAGCTGGCACCAGCCTTAGCCAAAAAAGGAAAAAAAGTTTGCACCTTTGTTGTGAACCCAGTATGCATTGAGGAGGCCAATAAAAAGGAAATGGCAGTAAAGAGTAAATGGATAAATAAGTGACTTGGAGATGCCTGGATGGGATGAGAAGACCAGGCTTCACCGTTCCCCCCCCCCAAGTACCTGGAACAACAACAACAAAACCAGTTCCCCCCGCAGCATCACAAGCCACCTCTGCAAAGTATCCCGATGGTGGTTTGGCCCCAAACAGGCAATTAGGAGCCATTATCTTTACAAAAGACCCCTCCCTTCCATTTGTGATGGGCTTATCCAGCAGCTGGCATTTTTAGGTTCTCTTTCTTGGGGTGGGGCTGGCATTGGGGACATCAGAGGGTGGGGGAAGAAGGCCTCTGCCCCCTCCCCATTTCATCAGCTCTGCCATACAGTGGAAAACTGAGTTAGGTGTGAAAGCAGAGTGATTGTGGGAAAAGGAAAGCAGGAAGGTGCGAGGGGGTGATCTCATTGCAAGGAGAGTCAGCTGTGAGGCTGCGGGTTGCCTGAAGGATCCATGACGGGGCCGTGCCGGAGAAGGAACACGGAGCAGACACACCTGTGGGGTTGTTTTGGTCTCCCCTCGTTTCCTCCAACCACCTGCATCTTTTTGCTGGCTGGCTTAACGGCATTGTCAAAATGTCAGGATGCTTTAGTGAAGGTGAGAAGTAAATAATGAAAAATTGCCTCTTTCTGAGAGAAAAATTTGTGCTTCAGGGAAAAAAAAGGGAACAGGAGAGGAGAGGAGAGGAGGGGGGGCTTTAAAGGAGGACACTCAAGAGGGGTTTATAAAATTACAATTGAAGCCGAGAAAGGATCCTGCCTTCCTCCTCTCAAATGGCAAGAATGGAAGGCTGCCCTCTGAATGGGATGGGACCGAGGGTTGAGCACATCATTAACGTATCGCGTTCCATTTTGACAAGATGCCTCCATGCCTCCCAGAGCCTAGGATGGCCTTGGGAAAGGCTCTCACACTGACTGAATCATGGCGCAGGAGAAATCCACCTCTGATCAGCAGGCATAATATTCCCTGAACTGAGGTGGCGGGGGGGGGGGGGCTGGTTCTCGGGCCGTTGGAGAAGGACCATCTCTCAGGTCTAAAGAAGATGTGTGCTTTGCAGGCGGAAGGCCTCCGTGCTTCAGTCTCTCCAAGCATCTCCTGATACGGCTCCTGATACGGCCCACAGCCACTTCCACAACAGTGGGGGTGGGAAGCCTGGAGGCCTTGGGGCTCAGCTGCATTTTCTGTGGCATCTCGAGTTTCTCCTTCCCCAGCCAAGAATGTTTTTCAAGCCCTCTTTTCATCCAAAGGGGAGTGAAGCTAACCCCCCCCCCCGCCCAACTTCCACCATCAGACAGAGCCTGTTTTATTCAGGTGGCGTTTGGGCAACTGCCTGGCTGCCAAAGAAGGGTGGCTTTTCTTATTGGTGTCTGTGTGTGTTCGTGTCCTTTTTTTGCACTGAATGGCTTTTGATCCAGTGGTTTCAAGACGGCCCTCTGCTTAATTGTCTTTTAACACTCCCATAACTTACTGGGATTTAGTGTACATGATTTTTTTGAAAACCAGGTTGTGAATCACTTGGAGACCCAGAACTGGGAGAAAAGTGGTGTATTAAATAAATAAAGAGATGATGAATCATGCTTTTGTGAGGGACGGTTCTCCGCTAAGCCACAGAATCCCCCTCACCAGCCATTTCAATGGAAAATCTGTTTTCTGCAGGAGGCTTGGAGTGTTGGGTTTCAGAGAACGGGGAGGCGGCCTTCTGGTCATTTCTGGGACCAGGCGGGGAACTGGCGAGGGGTCTTTGGGTGTTTCTGGAGTCCATGGGGTGCCTTGTCACTTAGGGTGGTCAGGCTGGCTGTATCCTGTTCCCTGACCCTTTTTTAGGGCCACAGGCTGAGACCGGCAAACCCTGACCTCAGCTCCCTCGACTCACGCCTCGGTGTTCTCTTCCTCGGCAGGGCCTCCCACCGGCGTCGTCGCCACCACCATGGAGCGCCTCCTGCTGTGTCTCCTGGCACTGCTCGGCAGCCTGGCGGCCCGGGCTCAGGTGTGCCCCAAGCGCTGCATGTGCCAGAACCTCTCGCCCTCCTTGGCCATCCTGTGCACCAAGACGGGCCTCCTCTTCGTGCCCACGGTGATCGACCGCCGGACGGTGGAGCTGCGGCTGACGGACAACTTCATCACGGTCATCCGCCGGAAGGACTTCTCCAACATGACCAACCTGGTGCACCTCACCCTCTCCCGCAACACCATCAGCCAGATCCTGCCATACGCCTTCGCCGACCTGCGGGGCCTGCGGGCTCTGCACCTGGACAACAACCGCCTCCTCCTGATCGGCGGCGACCAGCTCAAGGGGCTGCCCAACCTGCGCCACCTCATCCTCAGCAACAACCAGCTGCACGACATCTCCCCGGGGGCTTTCGATGACTTTGCCAGCACCCTGGAGGACCTGGACCTCTCCTACAACAACCTGGCCCAGGTCCCGTGGGAGACGATCCGGCGCCTGAACAACGTCAACTCCCTCAACCTCGACCACAACCTGATCGATTTCGTCCCCGAGGGGGTCTTCACCAACCTCCTGAAGCTGGCCCGCCTGGACATGACTTCCAACAAGCTGAAGAAGATCCCCCCGGACCCTCTCTTCCTCCGCATCCCCGTCTACGCCAAGTCCAAGGGCTCCCCGCTCTCCTCCCTGGTGCTGAGCTTCGGGGGGAACCCCCTGCACTGCAACTGCGAACTCCTGTGGCTACGGAGACTCACCCGGGAGGACGACCTGGAGACCTGCGCCTCGCCGCCGGACCTCCTGGGGAAATACTTCTGGACCATCCCGGAAGAGGAGTTTATCTGCGAGACCCCCTTCATCACCCGCCACACAGGGCGCTTAGTGGTGACCGAGGGGGAAGGAGCGGTCCTCCGTTGCCGTGGGGTCGGCGACCCGGAGCCCACGATCCACTGGGTCTCTCGGGAGGGCAAGGTGGTGGCCAACACGTCGCGCACCATCTCCTACGACAACGGCACCCTGGAGATTCTGATTGCCACCGTCCAGGACACGGGGAACTTCACATGCATCGCCTCCAACGCGGCCGGCGAGGCCACCACCTCCATCGAGCTGGTGGTCCACCCGCTGCCCCACCTCTCCAACGGCACGGATCCCAAGGACCCCGAGGCCGTGGGGCCGTCGGACATCCTGACCTCAGCCAAAGCCGCCCTCCCGGCCGGTGCCAACGAAACGGGGGGCTCTCAGGACAAAGGGGTGGTGGTCTCGGAGGTGACCTCCTCCTCAGCCCTGATCCACTGGTACCCACCCTGGCACGTCCCTGGCATTTGGATGTACCAGGTCCAGTACAACAGCTCCTCGGACGACATCTTGGTGTACAGGTGAGTCTCTACGGGGCCAGAAAGAGATGCTCTGGGCAGTTTCACAGGGGCTTCCGCAGTTCCGTGGCAGATGCCAGGTCCCAGCCTGAGGGCCGCGAAAGTTTCCATGTTCACCTTAGGAGCCGGAAGGGCCAGTATTTCTTTTTTAACAGGCACCGTGGAACTTGCCCTTTCTTGACAGCGTTAGTCTGTCCCATTGGCTCTTTTCCAGGCCTAGGAAATGTTCCTTTCTTTGGGCTCCTCTTCCCACAGTAGGATTTTGGGAACTGTAGTCCAAAATCTATGGACTCCCCGCCCTTGCTCTTTCCCCAGGTTGTCTCCCTACAGTTAATCTCCAGGTTGGCTAAGATAATGGGCAGCCCCCCCTCCCTCCCTCCCTTCACTTCCGCTGCCAGCTGGGCAGGGTCGCTCTCTGGGTTTGCCACTTCCTGCTGGACCTGCCCACGTCTCCGCCAGCTCACAGGGGTCAGGGTGGGACCCCTGACGTGGCTCTGCTCATCCGCCACCCTCGGTGTCCCCAACCAGCCAAGTCCTGCTTCCTTGGTTGCTCTTTCCCTCTCAGCCAGCCGTGGGCTGTCCTTGATCGCACTTGGGGGGGGGGGATGGCCACTGCCTTAGTTGGCTGATCAGGGCCGTCCCGTCTGGGGCCACCCCTGCAGTTCCCCAAGAAGCAGGCCTCCTCCACACACACACACACACACACACTTTTTGCCCTGGGGTTTCCCCTTGATTCTTTCAACCATGCCTATGAGAACCAACAATGCTGTGGATGATTCGCACCGGGGTGCTTTGAAATGGGCCCGAGATACAGCTGCAGTTTGGGGGTTTACCTTCTTATCCCCACATCCTTTTCCCAAGAGACTCCAGGGGGGGGTGATTGATAAGCTGCTGGCATGGCAGAATCACCCTGGGATCAGTGGGGACGTTGAGGGTCCTTTCCATCTCGGACACAGCATTTTTGCCATGTCGGTGGTCTTCTCTTGGCTGGAAGGGCAGGGCAGGAGCGGGTGCCGGAACTGCCCAGCTGGGATGCCGGAGAATCAGCTGAGGCCAAGGGGCTCTCGGCCATTTACGCTGGGGACCTTAGTAAGCCCATCCGGCAGTCTCTCAACTTGAGGAAGAGGCACCTTGAAGAGGAATTTTCCCGCCCCATCAGCTTCTTTTGCCTCAAGGCAAGAACACGACAAGGAGAGCAGTTTTGTTCTGGTTAAGATCTCTTATCTTGTGCAAACCTCTGTGGAAACCTACGCAAACACACACACACACACACACACACACACTGAGAACAAGCTCAAAAAAAAATGGCTGCTTGGTTAGGAGAGAGACCAACACACACACACACAGAGACACACACCCCAAATCCGTGCTTCTAATCCATCAAAGCCCCTGCAAAGAAGCAGCCGCCTCGGCGGGCCTTTGTCACCAGCTGCCTCCTTGGCATTAAAGCAGTTCTTGCATTTGAGCCCTCTTGTGCACAGTTTGGGGGAGAGGGAGAACGGGGGGGGGAGGGAGATGAGGTCAGTCCTTCTTCTTTTAGTTTCTTGTCCAGAATGCAACCAAATGTCTTACCTTCTTTT